TTTGGCTGGACTGTGTGGATTCTGAGAATACTGTTATAATTTCTGGGCAAGGAGGGGGAGGACATACCTAGTGGGAATGTTGCCAGACAAAGAATGGCTGGTTATCATGCGAATGACAATAATAGGATTTCAGCAGATAAATCAGAAACTTAGACAGATAGAAGGCCTGATGAAGGGGAAACCATCAGAGGCTAAACAGCAACTGAATGAAATTGAAACTCCAGAACAGTTTGTATTGAGAGAGATGCCAGGTAACATGGTAGGTAACATAGATGGGACTAGAAGTTATCACGTGGGATACCCAGTTATACTAGTCAGAAAAGGTGATTTCAAAAATCATACTACTGTCCTGGATTTAATCTTATCTCCCCCAAATGGGAAGAAAATAGAGGCACAGAAACAAGAGAAAGGTAATGAGAAAATATGGGAAGTGCCAGAAATGGACAGCTTTCCAGACAGGCTGATATGTCCAAGACAACTGGAAAATGAAAAAGGGGATGTATTTTATAATTGGTCTCGATTTCTTGATAGAGTTGGAATAACTTAGACTTAAATCAAAATATGAATATAAGCTAATATTTAGAGGATAATCAAATAGTATACAGATATATATATATAAAGAATACAAAGATTTTTTTTGTACTGGAAAATGAATGGATCAGAGGCATGCATACTTAATATGAATACAGTGGATGATTGTATACTCTGTGTTCTCCTATCCTCAAAATCCTTTTCCCATCCCCTGCACTCCCTTTTACCTTTTGTATTCCCTACCCCATTCCTACTAGTTTAAAAATAATAAATAAATAAAAAAAGAAAACTCAGAGTGAATCTGACTGAACAGAGGCTAGAACCCATTGGAAAGCCTACTCCATGGCAGTGGCAACAGTGAAGAAGCTACTCACCTCTACCATCATTTCATCTGCACAAAGCCATCCAGTGGAGCTCTTTCGACTGGTTAAGGGCCTGTTGCACAGATGGCCACAAGAGAAGGATGTTGGCCACTCAACAGCCCACTGTGAAGATTTTTTCTTGGCATTTTACAGAGAAAGTTGCTCAGGTCCTCTCTGACTTAGATACTGTAGTTGATGCGGGTCCTGTTGATGTAACTGTGGCTCCTGCTTGTCCTGTTATAATGGGTATGTTTCAGTTGGTGCAGCCTCTTTGGAGAAATGAAAGCTACCACATGTGTGCTGGACTCTTGCTCTTCCTGGCTTATAAAAGCAGCCAGAGGAAGACAGGCTGAGTGGTGAATGCCTACTTGCAAAAAGGCAAGGTACCAGATTGTCTAAAGGAGGCAGTAGTAAGACCTTTATTTAAAAGCCCTCCTGAATCCTGCTGTATTGGATAATTATTGGCCAGTCTCCAAAATTCCATTTTTGGACAAGGTCTTGTTATGGCATCTCAGCCCCAGTCTTGATCCATTTCAGTCTCGTTTCAGGCCTGATTATGGAAAAGAGATAGCTCTGGTTGCTTTGGTGGATGACCTATGCTGGGAACTAAACAAGGAAGTACATCCCTGTTGGTTCTGCTGGACCTTTCAGTGGCTTTTGATACCATCGACCGTGGTATGCTTCAGGGATGCCTTTCTGGGATGGACCTTGCAAGGGCTATTTTACAGTGTTTCCAATCCTCCCTGGATGGCCAAACTCACAATGTGGTGTTGGGAGAATCCTATTTGACACCCTGGACATTGGTCTGTGTTGTCCCTCAGGGCTTAGTCCTTTCTGCCATATTATTCAACATCTACATGAAACCACTGGGGGATTTTGTCTGGAGTTTTGAGGTTCGGTGTCATCAGTATGCTGATGACAGCTAACTCTATCTCTTCTTCCATCTGATTCCAAGGAAGCTGTTCTGTGTCTTGTTGTCACTGATGGACTGGATGAGGGCTGACCCACTGAAACTTAATCGAGACAAGACAGAGGTGTTCCAGTTCAGCCACAAGGCAAATCAGGGGATAGGGTTTCAGCCTGTACTGTATGGGGTATACCCCCCCCCAAAGTCAGGTCTGTAGTTTGGATGTGCTCCTGGACTCAACTATGAACTGGGATGTACAGGTTCAGTGGTGGCCAGGAGTGCATTTGCACAGTTAAAGCTAGTGCACAAATTGCTCTCATTCCTTGAGATGTCCAATTTGGCCACAGTGACACATACCTTAGTTATATCTGATTTGTATTACTGCAACATGCTGTATGTGAGACTGCCTTTGAAAGTGTTTAGAAACTTCACCTGGTTCAAAATGCTGCAGCTAGATTGCTGATTGGTGCTGCTTATAGGAAGCATGTAACTCCCTTATTACAACATGGTTCCATCACCCTCCCAAGCTCATTTATGGATACGCACGCACAAACACACAGAAGCACAGCTTAACTCTGTATGAAAATGATAACTTGAGTTCTGTGCTTGGCTTTTTCTTTTGCTAACTGTGTGCTAATAAGTTGAGGTAATTAGTAAAA